CCAAAAAGGCCATGCTGTGTGAGCCCAGCTCTCTGACATTCTGGAGAAGACCAGGAGCTGAGAAGGCAGAGGAGGAGGGAGGGCTGACCAGGTGGAGCCCAAATGATCTTGAGTGCAGTGAGACTATTCCGTGTGTTACTGTAGTGGTCACACATCGTGACACGTTGGAGATAGCCACAGGACTAGACCACAGAAAGAGGAACCATAATGCAAACTACCAGCTTTGGTTCACAGTGATGTGTCAGTGCACAGCAAGGCAGGATGTCAGTAACTGAGTGACAGCAACTCTGTTACACCCCCCCCCATCTGCAGTCTAACTTTGTGCTGCCATTACCCTCGGGGCCACTGTGGTCCACAAATAGTAAGTGGAAAATCTCAGAAATAAACAATTCATAAAATTATTTAAAATTATGGTATATTATAAATAGTGTATTATATGATATGCGATTATTCTGTTTTATTATTAATTATAGTTCTTAAGTTCATACTGTGCTTTCATAGGTATGTACATAAAAAGAAAAACACAGTATATACATGTATAAGGTTCTATAGTATCCCTGATTTCAGGCGTGCATGGAACATCTCAGAACATATGCCCTGTGGGAGCTGGTGTTGTGGTGTAGCTGGTTAAGCCACTGCTAGTGACCCTGCCATCCTATAACAGGGTGGCAGTCCAAGTCCTGACCATTCTGCTTCTAATCCAACTCCCTGCCAATACACCTGGGAAGCAGCAGATGCTGGGTCAAGTAACTGCGTGCCTGACACCCACATAGAAGACCCAACTGGAGTTCCTGGCTCCTGGCTTCATCCTGGCCCAGCTCTAGCTCTTGGCCCATTTGGGAAGTGAACCAGCAGATAGAAGATTGTCTCTCTCTCTCTCTCTCTCTCTCTCTTTCATTTTCTCCCTCCCTCTCTCCCCCCACCCTTTAAAATAAACAATAATAAATAAATCATTTAAAAGATATGTCCCCTATGAATAAAGGGGGGGCACTGTACCTTCTGCTTAATTTTTCTGGAAACCTAAAACAGCTCTAAAAAAATAGACTATTAACCAAAATGTGGCAATAAGTATAAAATCTGGAAATTTAATCAAGTATACAAAAAGTTCTATTAAAACTATCTATATAGAAGATGATTTAATAAGTAGAAAGATAGTTAATAGTCTTGAATAAGATAATAATATTATTAATACATTAATTCTTTCTAGATTAGCCTGTAGATTCAGTGACATAATTATCAAATTTTAATTGGAATTTTTGAGGTGCTTAATAAGTTTGCTTTAAAATTGATTTAAAGGAATAATAAAAGTTTATGGAAAGCTGAATAAATATTTTTTAAGATAACCTTATTTATTTAAAAGGCAGAGAGAGAAAGTCTTCCATCCACTGGTTCATTCCCCAAATGGCTGCAGCGGTCAGACTGAGCGAATCTGAAGCCAGGAACCAGGAGCTTCCTCTGGGTCTCCCATGTGGGTGCAGGGGCCCAAGTACCTGGGCCATCCTCTGCTGCTTTCCCAGGTGCATTAGCAGGGAGCTGGATAGGAAGTGGAGCAGCTGGGGCTCAAATCAGCATCCATATGGGACTCCTCTTGGTGTTCATGTCTCCATAGGTGGTGTGTCATCTGTCTTTGGTGAACTCTCCAAGGGCAGAGCTACGAGTGAAGATTCTCTCAGTACAATCCAAGACAAGCAACCCACTCAACAAAGAGGAGATGCTCATGTACTAATTATGTTCTAACTGAATGAAATGCAATGTTCCTATCCATCACATTGGTTTGGAAGACCGCTGGGCTTGAAGAAAATTGGTTTATGCTTATAAGAAATCAGCCAGTGAAAAGAAAAAAAACGTAACTAAAAAGACGCTAGGTCTCAAAGAAGTCCATCTGCAGGTGATTCACCACTGCATACCGCTACGTGCAGGCGGAGTGGACACATGTCATGGACCAGTACGCTCTGGGCTGGCACCAACCTTAGGATTTTTGAGACCTTACACTTAGGCCTCTGACAGACACCACCAAGACTGATGAAAAGCATGACTCCTGGAGTCGGGTGGCCCCAGGTTCAAACCCCAGGTTGGCCTGGTAGGGCCTTGGGCAAGGCCTTCTGTTCTTCAGCCTTGGTTCCTTCTTCTGCAAAATGGGACTCATAAGGCAGCCGTCATACATTATGGTGAAGACTCATTGTTATAGTGAATGGAAGTAGCTAACAGTGTACCTAGAGCACAGTAATGAACAAATATCCCCAAGAATGAAGCCTTCTTTAGCAGTGTCACTAGTACGATACAGTGTCCACTCTTACCTAGGATTCCTCTTTCCACAATTGTGGTAACTGATGATTAATTGTGGTCCACAAATATTAAATGGAAAATTCCAGAAATAAACAACTTATAAGTTTTAAGTTGCACACTGTTCTGAGTCACATGGTGAAACCTCTTATTGTCCTGCTCCATGGTGCCCCGGACTTGACTCATCTCCCTATCCAGGATATCCACGCTGTATACACTGCACACCCATTAGTCACTTAGCTGTCTTGGTTCTCTGATCAACTGTGGTATTTCAGTGTTTGTATTTAAGTAATCCTTATTTTACTTAATTACCACCTCAAAGTGCAAGACTAGTGATGCAATGAGGCTCCAGGACATAAGAAATGAAGGACACACGCACTGTGGCACTAAGTGACAATACAGCTGGACACAGAGGGAAAAATCAGTCTGTGTATTTCCATAGGGTTCAGTACTACCCAAGGATTCAGGCATCCACTGGTGGTCTTGGAACATATGTCCCTTGGATAAAGGGGATTATTCTATAGGAAATGTTGGTTGTATGTTAAATTTCCCTAGCATTTTCCCTTGAGAATGTTTTTAAAAAGCAATTTAGCACAGTGCATTCTTAGAGTTAGGAAGGATATTTGCAGAAGTCACACAGCCCAACGTTTTCCCAATTTGAGAAATTGTTTTACAGGCGTCTCTCCACCCCTATCACTGGCAAGTAGTGAATCAGCTTCTGCCTCAGTAATTCCAGCCGTCGTGACCTTGCAGCGATGCCAGGCAGCTCTTGGGAGTTACTGCACCTCCCTCTTTTTCTTTTTCTTTTCTTTTTTTTTTTCTTTTTTGACAGGCAGAGTGGACAGTGAGAGAGAGAGACAGAGAAAGGTCTTCCTTTGCCATTGGTTCACCCTCCAATGGCTGCCGCGGCCGGCGCGCTGCGGCCAGCGCACTGCGCTGATCCGATGGCAGGAGCCAGGTACTTATCCTGGTCTCCCATGGGGTGCAGGGCCCAAGCACCTGGGCCAACCTCCACTGCACTCCCTGGTCACAGCAGAGAGCTGGCCTGGAAGAGGGGCAACCGGGACAGAATCCGGCGCCCCGACCAGGACTAGAACCCAGTGTGCCGGCGCCGCAGGCGGAGGATTAGCCTAGTGAGCCGTGGCTCTGGCCCTGCACCTCCCTCTTAACACTCTCAGTGCTGACACCTGAAATACCTACTCTGTGGACAAGACTCTAAGTCTTGTTGAGCCTAGACAGTTGATTCTCTGCTGTATCCAGCTCAGTGCCTTTGAACCCAGCAAGTGATCAGATCCTTGTTGATGGATGGATGGATGATACGCCCTCTCTGGGTGCCATAGAATAAGCCAATAGGGGAAGGCATTGTGGAGCAACGGGCTACGCCACCACTTGGGACACATGCATCCCATATTGGAATGCCAGTTCAAGTCCTAGCTACTCTTTTTCCCATCCAACTCCCTGCTGGTGAGCCTGGGAAGCAGCAGATGATGGCCCAAGGGCTTGAGTTCCTGCCACCCATGTGGGAAACTCAAAGGGAGTTCCTGGCTCCTGGTTTCAACCTGGCCTAGCCCCAGCTCTTTGTGGCCAATGTGGGGAGTGACCCAATGAATGGAAGAACTCTATCTCTCTACCTCTTTCTCTGTGTGTCTCCCCCTTTGTCACTCTGCCTTTTTAAATAACTAGATAAACTTTTTAAAAAATAATAAGTTAGGGGCCGGCATCATGGCTCACTTGGTTAATCCTCCGCCTGCGGCGCTGGCATCCCATATGGGAGCCAGGTTCTAGTCCTGGTTGCTCCTCTTCCAGTCCAGCTCTCTGCTGTGGCCCAGGAGGGCAGTGGAGGATGGCCCAGGTGCTTGGGCCCCTGCACCCGCATGGAAGACCAGGAGGAAGTGCCTGGCTCCTGGCTTTGGATTGGTGCAGCACTGGCTGTGACAACCATTTGGGGAGTGAACCAACGGAAGGAAGACCTTTCTCTCTGTCTCTCTCTCTCTCACTGTCTATAACTCTACCTGTCAAATAAATAAATAATAAGTTAAATGTATGTATTTATCATACTTAGAGTCTGACTTATGCAATAATGAATTTAAATCTAAATTAACCATTTTGGAGAAACAATTATAGATCTGTAACTATTCTATGAGCTATAATCTACCTCAGACTTGAGCATCAGCTGTAAAATTCTGCTTTAAAGTAAATAACCTCCTGATTATAGGGATATGGATAACTTTCAGGTAAAAATAAGTCCATTATTTTAAACATATTAACACTAACAGGTGCCGGAGAGATAATTACTAAGAACTGCCTTCATTTCCAAATGGCTTCTCCTTTTTCTTCACCTAATTTGAGCTTAATACAACCAAGATCTTCGTAGGAGTGTGTATAATTCTGAACTGGTCACAAGGAGAGACTTTTGACAGCACCTGCTGATACGGAGTTTATTCACTGAGAGCCTGGTCTCTTTCTCAAGTTCAGTCGTTGAACTTCTTTAGTGTTGTAGCTGAGAAGAACAGGATTGTTAGCAGTGCTCGCATTTCTGATAAATAAATGAGTCCATTCACGTGTATTAATAATAACCGAGGCAAGTCACCCTGCCCCAAAGTGACTGAGCCATGGCCCACATTCTTTCTCCTTTACAGCATTCCCTTCACTATGAGTTTCCAGTGCTGCCCAATGACTGATTTATTGTTTTCTCCCCAGGAGGAGGGGGAAGCCTTAGGTACCTGGTACCCAGCAAAAGCCCAGACTCAGAGTTATCAGTGGAATTCCTCAAAGTGACAAAGGGCTAGGCGAGGGGTTCCTTGCTGGTACAACCAGGTCACAAGCCTAAGAAGGCTTGCCGGGTGTGGCTGGCTCCGTCCCCAGGGCTCTGCGCTGCTCCCGATCTGGGCTGTGCTGCCCTGGGGCTGGGCTGCTCCTCCTGGCCTCTGCAGGACCTCCAGGCTCCAGGAATTTGGACCGAGTGGTAGAGACATCGCCGGCAGAGACGGCGGTCGCCAGCTTCCTCCCTGCATTGACTTGTGATTCAGAGCACATTCTGCTCCGCTTTTTAAGAAAGGGAGCACGTTAATGTTGGAGGCTCACTGGGACAGAACAGAGCAAGCAGACGCAACAGTGGGATCCAAGAATTGGTGAGTGGGCAGCTCATCCGAGGGGCATGGACGGGTCATGGGGAGCCTGCAGGGTCAAGGTCTGATTGCTAAGAACTCTCTTGTGGATAGCTATAGCAGCCGCAGAAGTCTTGGGACTTGAAGCTTTCACAAATAATTCTGGGCTGGGGCTTGCTACCTCCTTACACACACACACACACACACACACACAGCTGGTGTGCCAAGGTCACCATGTACTGTGTCGTGTTTGGTCATAGGGAGGAAGAGTTGAAAAACAAGAAAATGTCATTCTATCTTGGACCTTGATCTAAAGCCAACACCATGGAACCAAGGGCCTTGCATGCATACTCCTCTAGGAAGTGACTTTGAACTTGGCCTCTCTCACATCAATTCCAACTGATACCAGAGTTAGACAGCTTAGCAAAAATTGCTGCTCACTGTCTGTGTGTCCCTTTGGGCTATGCCGTTCTCTTATTGCATTAATTTCTGCCTGATGGATGCTCTCTCCTTCTTGGAAGGGTGCATTTCTGTGGCAGGAGCACTCTTGGCATTATTCCACACTCTGTGAAGGTGCTTTCTTATGAGAATAATTTACATCCCCAGGATCCTGGTTTCCTAGGTACAATGAGCTTATACATCAATATTTTTAGGGAGCATACACTCTCAATATTTTATCAGCTGTAGAAGACCAGGGCTTGAGTCTCAGCCCTGTTGCTTTCCCCATGTCTTTCTGTGAGTCCCTGAGCACTGTAAACCTCAGATAGCATCTCTAGAACATACCAGCTACCATAGCTCTGACCAGAGCCTTGCCAAAGCCACACAACCAGTGACAGAAGCAGGATTTCCCATCCACGGTTTGGTCCTAGGGAGTATTTCTAGACTGACATAATAGGAAGCAATGAAGCAGGCTGGCCGGTGGCCCTGGGGGTGGGTGGCCCCCACAGCCTGCATTCATGCCAGCCCCCATGAACGCAGCCAGGGGTCCTGCTGCTCTGTGGGGTGGGACCCAGCCTCCTCACTGCATCTTTTCCCTTGGAATTACAGGAGCCCCTCCAGTCTCCATGCCGCCTCTCCTGGTCACCTTCTTCCTCCTCTGCTCCTGTGTCCCCAAAGCAAATGGCCACCTCCGTGAAGCCCTAGCGGTGCTGAAGGCTGAGTTTGCACTTCACCTCTACAGGAGCGTGGCAGCAGGTAGAAATGGGACGAACTTCGTCATCTCCCCCGCGGGCGTGGCCTTGCCCCTGGAGGTCCTGCAGTTTGGAGCCCAAGGGAACACGGCCCAGCAGCTGGCAGAGGCACTGGGGTACACCATCCATGGTAAGACACCTGCTCTCCCTCCTTCCTGCTCACTCTCTGGCTCAGGCCACCTCGGGAGCTGTGGAGCTCAGCAGCCAGTGGGTCACACAACTGGGCAGGAGGTGCAACAGCAGGTTTCAAACTCGGGAAATGCAATTACCCTTAATGATGATGATGATGATGATAATAATAATAATAAAAACCTATGTACCTATGTACTTATTTTGGCAGAGTTACAGAGCCAGAGAGAGAGAAAGGGAGAGAGAGAGAGAGGGAGAGAGAGAGAGGTATCTTCCATTGTTTATTCACTCCCCAAATGGCAAGAGCCTGGAACTCCATCCAGGTCTCCCTCATGGGTGGCAGGGGCCCAAGTACTTGGGTCTTCTTCTGCTGCCTCCCCAAGTGCATTAGCTGGATCAGAAGTGGAGCAGCCAGGACTCAAACCTGGCTCAAATCCATATGGGATCTGGGATCACAGGCGGTAGTTACAGCCACTGCACAACACCAACCTAATTACCCTTGATTTTTAAGATCTCTTCTAACCCCAGACTTCATGGCAATATGTCCATTTCCTTCCACATCACTTTATGATGCTCACTAGGTGCTAGACAGCATTTAAGGCCCCTGGCAAGCGTTAATTAATTATCACAACAACCTCCCTTCTGAGGTTGGTGACTTTTTATTATCATCTGTATTTTGGAAAGGCACTAATAGGCACAGAGAGTGAAAGCAACTTGCTCTAAGTCACAAAGCCAGTAAGTGGCAGAGTTGGGCTTAAACCCAAGCTGTCTGGCTCAGAGCCCATGCTTTGGACCAACCCGCTTTAATAAATCCGTGATGTCTAGGCAGTGCCAGATCTGCCAGCTTAATCCTATAGATTCTGGATCTCAGAGCAGCTCTGCCAGCAGCAGCAAAGAGTCTCCCAAATGCAGGCCAGGTTCTCCTAGGCTACGTGCAGGGCCTCAGCTCAATGCTGGGCCCCCGCACCACCTACCAACTCCAGGCTAAGACAAACACAGGAGTTTTTCCTTCTCTCTCTCAAAAAAGGCATCCATAAAAAAAAAAAAAGATGCAGTAACCTTTGCATAAATTAGTATTTGTCAGAAAGCACAAGAACTAATGCCAATATATCCGGTGAGAGTGTGCTTTAGGACAGGACCTTGAACTGGCAAATAGAGGTCAACACTCAACGTGTCAGGCCATAAGGCCCCAGCAGAGCGTCCTGTCCCTCCTCCTTCATACTCCTCCCCCACCAAAATGATTCTCATGAGCCTGCTGGTTGACAAACAAATGATTTTTTCTCTTCAGGGACAACTGAAGTCAAAGGTAGTTTGTTGAGCTTTGTTTTTCTCCGCAGCGATATCACAGCTGTGCACATAGGCAGGGAGCTATTCCTCAACCATGTTAGATTCCGAGCCATGCCATTCCCGGAGTACTACTGTGCACCTGCTCCATGGGCCAGTGCTGTGCCAGGAACTCAGCATCGGGATCTATAAGGAAAAGCCTGAATGCAGGCAGCTCAGTCTCATAGGAGCCGTGCACATGGAAATGTGCTCCAGCACACTGCTGTAGGTACAATTTTTAGAAATAAGTTTATACAAGGGAGTGTATGATTTATTCCACCGGCAACTTAAAGGGCTCCCCAGAAGATGTGATACTGGAGCTGGGTGATGAAGAATAAATAAAAATATCAAAGAAGGGCAGGCTTGTCGGCCTTAAGATGGAGTCTCATAGAAGTCAGGACTGGGGGGAAAGTGAGAAATGGAAGTGTCGCCACACTGCAGGGAAAGCACACTGAGCGCCATCAATTCTCCTTTGTTGGGACAGTCGTGGAATCTGGCTAACCAAACAGACGGACTCTCAGAGTTTCCATAGAGCCTGTGAGATGTTCTCCCAATGTCAAGGATGCTGAAAGCCTAACTCTTGGAACAATAATCTCACACTTTCCTCTTAATCAGAAACTGTATTTTTTTAAGTTCAGTCTTAAATTTTTATTTATTTATGTGAGAGGCAGAGAAATTGAGAACTCTTATCCATTGGTTCAGTCCTCCAAATGCCTGTGATGGCTAGAGCTGGGCTAGACCAAAGCTGAGAGCTGGGAACTCAATTCAGATCTCCACCTGGGCAGCAGGGGCTCAAGTGCTTGAGCCATCACTACTTCCTCCTGAACTCTGCATCAGCTGGAGACCACAGTCAGCAGCCAGAGCCAGAAACTGGACCCAGATACTCAATGTAGGAAGTGGGCATGGTAACAAGCACTTTAATTACAAGGCCAAGTGCCCACCACCAAAAACTGCATTTTTCAACTTATGCAGCCATGGTTAATTATTATGAACCAGAATGGGCAACTTACATATGTCAGTGTGCTGGTTAACAGAATACCCCTATACTTTGGTGTGCCCCAGGGTAGCTCAGAGAGTCACATGTGTGCAGCTTAAGACAGCCCACCAGAGCCAGCTCCCTATCTGGCCCAGTCCTTTTAAAAGTCAGTACAGACCAACGACACAGGTGTAACAAGCAGCAAAGTCCATCCCAGGGTCTGGGGCCATCGTGCCTGTTTAATCGATGGAAAGACCCATACAAGTTGCAATGGGATACATCAGCATTGTCTCCTCGCTGTGCCTCCAGGCAATAGGTGACAATAAGGAGCTTTGTGAGGGCACCGACCCGCTCGCCCTACAAATACAAGGCAAGATGTTCCCAAAGAGAGACCGTGTTTTCATTATGTGAAATGCAGAATCTCCCAGTGTTCCAGCTTCTGGGGATTGTTATTGTTCTTCAGTTCAAATTAATAAGGAACACTTTGACAAGAACTGTTCCAAGAACAGAGACCTCGCGGATGAAGAGTTCTGCTGAGTGACATCGCTGGGTTCTACTGTGGTGTTCGTTATGCATTCGGTCCTCATAGAAATCGGATAGAGTCACTAGACCTCTATTGATTTTCCAATTTTATAAATAAGGTAAGAGGATAATGATTTGGGGAAACTTAGGTCACCTAATGAACAAGTGGCAGAACCAGAATTCAAGTTCCAGACTTCCTGATTCCAAATCCCGTATTCTTTCAATAATTCCTTAGCACCATTCTAAACTATGGAGCAGTTGCCTTCTCTATTTCTATGTCTCACCAAAGGCATCTCTATTGCCCTCTAAGTGCAACTAAACCCTTTGGAGAGCATCCTAAACTTAACCTTTTTTAAATTTCTGATAACAAAAACATCAGCCTCAGAAAGATGGTTCTTACAGTTCATGAATTTTACATACATTAACTTTAAAGTCAAGACTCACCAGATTTGGTGCCATATTCAAGAGGTCAGTTTTGTAGATTATGGCACTCTTCATGCTGGTAGAGTTAAAAGGCTGGTTTGCAGCAAGACTCTAATACTTTCTTGCAACTCTTCACACAGCCTGGGACCCTATCCTCAAATCTTCCCTCGCTACATTCTTGGTCTGCCCAGGTGGTTTTCTTGCCTTCTTCTTCTTCTTCCTTCTCTTGCTCAACATCTTATTAGAACTACAAGTTATTAACCCACCTCCCAGCAAGGAAGGTGGCTTTCTATTCAGATGCTAAGACAGAGAGAAATGAAGTCAGCAGACGTGGTTCTCATTCAAGAGCTGTGACGGGACAATCCTGCCCTCACACTCGCATCATTCACCTCTGCCCCATCACAGAGAAGGAGCCGGAACGCCACATGTACAGCAAGTAGGAGGTTAGGAGCTGCATCGCCCCATGTTCACCCCAGGGCGAGTGAGGTGCTCATGTGCAGAGTCTTCTCAGTCCATCCATTCTCACCCTGTGAGGTCACTTTGTGACACTGCACTTCTATGCCACCCTGGCGGCGGATGGGGCAGCCAAATGCCACCACCTCCAGCTGGGTGACCCTGAGCAAGTTTATGAAGTTGTCTGACCTCAGCTCCCTCATCTATAAAACAGGAACAATAGTCTTCGTTCATAGGGTTATTGAAAGGATCCGATGCAATCAGGAACGTAAGTGTTTAGCACAATTCTGTGGACGTAGTCTACCTTCCGTATTCTTTATTCTGGCAATGCAAATTCTGGAAGGTCCAGAAAAGCCCTTTCTGTGTTCAGATGAGCACAAACACAGAGACTTGGTGGAGGCAAGATTTCGCACCAAACTAAACTTCAAGCAATTTTTATGCTATGCTAATGCTTCTGTCTAAAAGAACACTAGTTCTTGCATCCAGAGAGGGTAGGACTGGGAAGAAGGCACCAACCATTTCCAAGTTCACAATATGCACTGTGGACCAGTAGAATGTCTCAATTCTCCTCCTCCCACAGTCAACATGCTACAGGGATATGAGCCTGGAAATATATATGATCTCCCTCAATAGGGCAAAATCTGATTATAAAGTGTGTGTTCTTTTTCACTGCAATAAAATGCAAGCACTCAAGTTGGGTGATAACTCACGAGACCTATATCCGTTTTATATAGTTGTGGATTCTAACAAGCAGCTTTGGTAGTGTGTGGTATCTACCCACTACTATGAGGTCTGTGGCCTGGTGGCTGGGCACTTTGGCTGAGGTATATTCTGGGTGCCTATATCCCCCTCAGCAGATGCTACTCAGGCAACTTGGGGTTCTACTGCTGCCTCCTGAGTTGGACTCTGTGACACAAAGTGCATTGGAGTGGAGCCAGCCCATGCTGAGACAGTGGGATTCATGTACTGGGTGCTCAGGGAGAGCCAGAAGGGGCTGGTGGCTCAGGAAGAGATCTCCAGCATCATCAATTGTACACAGAAGGTTGTGGGCAGTGCCTAAGAGGGAGGAGAAGTGGGGAGAAGCAGTGGAAGGCCACACTGTAGAGTCAGCCTGCGCACAATGGTGCTTCACTCTAGAACTATCCAGCTGGCATGTGTCAGGAGTGGGAAGCTTGGGGAACTCAACTATATGCAGACTCACTGGTGGGCATGAGGCCTCATTCCAGATACAAGATGCCTAGGGGAGCTGCAGCCTGCAACTAATAGCATGCAAATGAAATCCACCATCGGAGATAAATGGAGAAGAGGAAGCAATCTCCTGTGTAAATGGTAAATAAATAGAAGTCTGACTATTGTCCAAGAAGGTGGAAGCTATTGACTCTTGGCAATGGGCTTCTTACTTGTATGTCCTCAACAACATTCATGCAGTCAACGCCAACATTAATAACAGGAGCTCTCTGCTGGGTCTTAGGGAGATGGCAGAGGGGAGGAATTATTGTCCTTTGCATTTTTCACATTGAAAGCATAGTGCTAAAAGAGATTGCTTGTCACTGTCACTCAGGCTTCTGACAGGCAGTCATTGGGATGGATTTAAGGCCCCAGACAAGATGTATGGACAATGCAACATTCTGGCCACTATCCATCACTGATCTTTGTGACACTGCACATAAATCTCTTCACTTTGTAAATGAAACTGGGCCCTGGAACTGCCATTTTTCCAGCCCAAGATCTTGTGAGTGGCACTTGTGAGTACTCCTGAATCGGGAAGTTAGGAAGAAGAGCTTCTTTCCAGCTACAAGATGTTAGCGGCGGTGTTTGTTTAATTTCATCACAGCCTGATTTCTTTCAGATCTTGCATGGTTTCTTCCCAATTTTAACCTTTGAGTCCAGGCTGATTCCTGAGTGATCAGCTCGGAGTTTTCCAAACTGACTGTGTGTGTTTAGACTTGGGACACAAAGTGGCATTGCTGGGGCCCCGTTCAATGCATTGTGCAGGTGGGAGTTGTGCTGGCTCCTTCCTCACACCCACTTTTGTCAATGGATCCCAACTTGTTTTTCACAGACCCAAGGGTGAGAGATTTACTGCACACCATTTATGCCACGCTGTCCAACTCCGGCCAAGGCACTGAGATGGAGCTGGCCTGCACCCTTTTTGTGCAAGCAGGAACGCCATTGTCCCCCTGCTTTGTGGAGCAGGTCTCCTGGTGGGCCAACAGCAGCCTGGAGCCAGGTGATCTCAGAGAGCCCAATGGCGCCACCATTCAAGTTGACGACGGGGCCTCCAAACAGACCTCAGGTAAAAGAACACCAAGCACCTCACGGGTAAGGTCAATGGCTGCACACACAGAGTATTTCCCATCACTGTCAAAGACATGGTGACAGTGTCCGTGCCACCCCCTTTGCAGCAGAGCTTGTCCTCTTGGGACACTGATCCTTGAGTGGCTTCCTCCTTGAAGCTTCCACAGTTGACCTTTGCCCCCCTCCAGCCCATACACTCACACACAAATCTACATGCACATGAGCACACCGAGAGAGACACACAAGCACACACACACAGAGAAGTGTGCTCCTCATGGCTTCCTACCTCGGGGCACATCCGGCAGTCTTTGTCCCCTGCACCTGTCTCCCCCACCGAGTTCCACTGAACTTTGCTCCTGTATATGGTTAAAAACCTGTGATAGAGGCCGGTGCCATGGCTCACTTGGCTAGTCCTCCGCCTGTGGCGCCGGCACCCCAGGTTCTAGTCCCGGTTGGGGCTCCGGATTCTGTCCCGGTTGCCCCTCTTCCAGTCCAGCTCTCTGCTGTGGCCCAGGAGTGCAGTGGAGGATGGCCCAAGTCCTTGGGCCCTGCACCCCATGGGAGACCAGGAGAAGCACCTGGCTCCTGGCTTCAGATCCGCGCAGCGCACCGGCCATAGTGGCCATTTGGGGGGTGAACCAACAGAAGGAAGACCTTCCTCTCTGTCTCTCTCTCTCATTGTCTCACTCTGCCTGTCAAAACAAACAAACAAACAAACAAAAACCTGTGATAGAAAAATGAAGCAGTAACCCAAACAGTAGTTTCTTGGGAATTTAGGCTAAGGAAGTAAATCAAGAGAAGAGAAGTTACATTCAGTAAGATGCTTAGCTCAATTTAATTGATGAAACAGGCTGATGAACAACCTGTCCTACAGTTGGGGAGGGTTCAGGGAGGCACAGCACAGGCATATTGTACAGTTGTAATTACGATTGTGATGGTGAAAATCAGTAACCGTCACTGTTTAATTTATGTCTTATTGTTCTAAGTTTAAGGGATCAGTTTGCCCTCCCTCACGATAATCCTAGGAGGTCGGCACGAGTCCTGGATGGAGAAACTGAGGCAGGCCGGCACCGCGGCTCAATAGGCTAATCCTCCGCCTTGCGGTGCCGGCACCCCGGGTTCTAGTCCCAGTTGGGGCGTCAGATTCTGTCCTGGTTGCCCCTCTTCCAGGCCAGCTCTCTGCTGTGGCCCAGGAGTGCAGTGGAGGATGGCACAAGTACTTGGGCCCTGCACCCACACAGGAGACCAGGAGAAGCACCTGGCTCCTGCCATCGGATCAGCGCGGTGCGCCGGCTGCAGTGCGCTGGCCGTGGTGGCTATTGGAGGGTGAACCAACGGCAAAGGAAGACCTTTCTCTCTGTCTCTCTCTCACTGTCCACTCTGCCTGTCAAAAAGAGAGAGAGAGAGAGAGAGAGAGAAACTGAGGCACAGAAGGTTGAGCCTCCTGCCCAGGATCCACAAAGCCAGGCGGTCTTCTCCACATGCTGAATAAGCACAAAGATTACACAGCAATAAATGACGTTCGAGGATGTTTTAGCTCTGCCCTCCTGGACCCGGCACCGTGGTGTTCATTTCAATCACAGGGCACTTGTCCCTCCCCTCCCCCGTTGCTGTCCCACCCGCAGGTGAGGGCCCAAGCGGCTCTCCATGGGGGCCCGTCGGCGCCACGTCTGCTCAGCTTGCCATTGTGAGCACCATGTCGTTCCAAAGCACCTGGCGGAAGGCATTCTCCTCCAGGGACTCGCAGCTCCTGCCTTTCACCTGCGCCCACGGCCTCGTCCTCCAGGTCCCCACGATGCACCAAATGGCTGAAGTCAACTACGGTGAGCGCTTTCCCACTGGGCTGCCCGAAGCGTGAGGAAGCGCGGGGCATGGGAGTGGGAGCCAGGAGCTAGCTCTCTCCTCCCACAGGCGCTGGGCTGTGTGTGTGCTGAAGAAAAGCCCAGTGTGGCAGGGGACTCTTACCTAGGGGTCTTGGGACAGCAGGAGGCTGGACAGTGAGGCTGCGGATGTGGGAGAAAAGCCAATTTCACGCTTGACATTTCCCTCTGCACTTAGGAAAGGAGAGAGTTCATGTGAAGCCAAAAATATCCTGACCCAATCACTTCCCTCGGACAGGCAGCCCCACAAACTGAAAGCCACTTAGCAAGGAAGAAGATTGAGTCTAAAAGGCTCTCCAAGAGCACCCCAAAAAGTCCCCTCGTCCTGAAATGCCGTAGTTCTCTGTGCCCACCCTGCCTGATGGCTCCGTCATCTTGGTCAGGGTGAGGATGTGGAGAGGGGGCAGGTGGCCAGTGCCGGCGAGGGTCTGGTAGCCCTCAATCCAGCAGGTTCCAGAAGGGCCGGCACAGCAAGGGAAGAAGGGCCCCCAACTCCTGCCTTCATACCCGACCTGCCCCACTTCTGTCAGCCCTCCTTGTGGGTTGGGCCTGTGGCTTGTGGGGCTCCTGTCAGACGTACTCAGAGAAAAGCCAGTGAGATGTCAGAGTTTTAGGGTCTCTGTCATCTAGAGGGCTTACTAGTAGTTCCACCCTGATTCCATGAGAGGCACATGGTGCGTGCTCAGTAAATGTAGCCATTGGCTTATTCAACCACCAATACCATTGAGGCCGAGTAAGATGAGAACCTACCTATGTGACCCCAAGAACTCCTATGGGGTGAGGACACATGGACAAGCTAACCTCGCTCTTGTCCCTGCTGTTTTCTCAACGTGGCTGTGACCAGGCTGGCTGATTTGGCTGTGTGATGATAAGCAGCCTCTATGTGGCTCTGGTTCTTCCAGGACACAGTGTGCTGCCTGTGCACTGCCTCATAATGGATGCCAAATTAGTATCGATCCAATAGGGAAAGTAAGTAGAAGCTTACTTTCTGCCTTATCAGCCAGCCAAACTCTGCTGTGGCTCCACACCAGGACCTCGGTCTCCCTCCTGCTCCCAGGAGAAGGATCGGGGCTGGAGTCCAACCCACAGTTCTTCTGTCCCCACCCCGCCTGGATCACCCCACATTACTCACACTCCCCTCCCTGTCCCCGGGCCTGGTCACAGTCTGCATTCACCAGCAACTGTCATTGGGTCTCCCTGTTCCCAGCCGTCTGTGTCCGCTGCCACCTGCCACCTGTCCCATCATGCTGCTCCACCTGACAGGCTGTGCTTGTCCTCAGCCAGCCACTGCCCTTGCTTTTAAGCCCCCACTGCCCATCCTGAGGTCTGTGTGTTTAGGCACAGCCCCCAGCTCATGTGCAGCTGGACTCGTGTTCTGTCACGCCTGCGTGGTGGTTTACAAGTTGGGAAATCTATGAAATCTAGATTTACAACTTTTATTGGAAGATGGGAAGATCTGGCACGAAGAGCCTGGGTTCCCCATGGCTGTGGTTGGCCAGGGTTGGACTGGCAGTTCCTTTAGGACAGAGCAGATTGCTCCCCCTTCTGCCATTGTCCCCACCATGCCCCACCACCACTGGCCTCTGTCCTGGCCCTGAGAGAATCTTGGAGATCCTAGGTGTTAAGATCAGAAAAGGTGACCATGTCACCCAGAAGGCTTTGCCTCAAACTGCTCCTTGCGGATGAGTGGGTGCCCAGTGAAGTGATCCCACTCAGGGTGGCCCCCGCGAGGGGTCTGGCACTGTTTGGATTCCCTGGCTCTAGGGACAGAGCCAATCCCTGACAGCTGAACCCCCAGGCCAGTTCCAGGACGCTGTCGGCCATCAGGTGGGAGTGCTGGAGCTGCCTTACCTGGGAAGTGCGGCCAGCCTGTTCCTCGTGCTGCCCCGTAACAAGGACACCCCCCTGCATCACATTGAACCTCAGCTCACAGCCAGCGTCATCCACCTCTGGACCAGCAGGCTGAGGAGAGCCAGGATGGACGTGTTCCTCCCCAGGTGAGCAGCGGCCTCCCCCTTCCAGAGTGCTCTGTGGCCAGTGGTCTGCACAGCACGGGTTTCAAGCCAGGCGGTCTGGCTCTGGGTCTGTTGCTAACCATGGGCTGGCTTGTCTAGTGTATCCCTAGAGGTAGAGCAAGGGGAAGTTACCCTAGAGTCCATTTGTGTCCATTTCAGAGTCACTACTCACTGGCTCATGGCTCAGGCTGAAATGAGCTAACTCCCTGTGGTCTTCCAAGGCAAGCCCCTCTGTTGTCTCTGGGCCAGATGGATGCCCTCAGGCCCCTGCCCCAGCCTCAGGCCTCAGCCAGTTTGAGAACAAGGGGAGGAAGTGCAGTGGGCTCCCCTTGTAGGAATGTGCCCCAAATCCTCATCGAATATGATTGTCACTTTTCCTAAACCAGACATGAGATGTCTTATTTGATTGAACAGTCTTACAAATATACCTGTGAACAGAAGCCCAATTAAGGCATAAAAATGTGAAACTCTAAGTCTCTGTGCTGAAGTCCTCATTTGTTGTATATAGTGGCGAACCCTCCCTTCAGGAAACCCAGTAGGTACAAATGCAGGTTTCCAGAAAGTTAAATGACAGTGCTCGATTTTTGGCCTCCCAAAGCAAAAATCTATTAGGAAAACTCAATCCCTAACAAAAGTGCTTAGCACTTCTTTAAATGATGCACTTCTCTGAAATCAGAAATTTATCAGCAATTTGTGGGCCAGCACTAGGTGAGGAACACTGTCCAGGGCCTCCCGGAGTATGTGAATTCAAGCGCCTGCTCACATGGGGCCTGGCCTCCTGCCCTGCCTGGGCTCTCAGCAGGCCAAGGCAAAGGCCTTGGCCATGCTCCCTCAAGGAGTTAAAAATAAGTCCATGCAGCAGAACAAAAACGTACCAAGAGAGACCAAGCAAATAAAGGGCAAGGTCTAACGTAGCAGGTGGCCCAGCCCAGGGCCAAAGGTAAACTTAACTCGAAGATAAAGTCTATCTTTCAAAACCAAATAGTTGAAGCCCAAACCAAAGCACAAAGTCTGGGGAGGTATTTCAGCGGCTCTCTGTGGTCTAGAGAAGCAGCTACTGTAATCTTCTGGGCCTATTTTAGAGCAGCTCAGAGAAGGAAGGAAGAGGAGCCTTCAATGTCAAAAGAGGAGCGAAAGCAGAGCCCCATGCAGGAGCTTGCCGCAGTCATCCTGGGTTTGGGCAACAGATGGCTCGTCCCATCTTGGAGCACTTGATGGGAAACCCCTGGCTCCCCTAAGCCCTCTCCTTCCCTGTGATCCTGCCTCCAGAAGACTCAAACCCGTAAGCCATGATCTTGGAAAGCATTGGAGGATGGAGGAGGAATGAGAAGGCGGGGATCTTAGCAACAAGGCCATCGGTTAACACTTGACCTCATTGTGGTCATTTTTGTTTTTTAATCTCTCTAAGATGGTCAAGTCTCCTGTCCAAGAAGAAGAGAAATTTTGAGGGAAGTGAGGCTATTTCACGGGCCCAACTAACCTAGTTCTTGTTTTGCGTTGTTTTTTGTTGTTTTTTTTTTTTTGTTTGTTTGTTTGTATGTTTTTTTGACAGGCAGAGTGGATAGTGAGAGAGAGAGACTGAGAGAAAGGTCTTCCTTTGCCGTCGGTTCACCCTCCAATGGCCGCCGCTGCCGGCGCACTGCGCTGATCCGAAGGCAGGAGCCAGGTACTTCTCCTGGTCTCCCATGGGGTGCAGGGCCCAAGCACTTGGGCCATCCTCCACTGCACTCCCTGGCCACAGTAGAGAGCTGGCCTGGAAGAGGGGCAACCGGGACAGAATCCGGCGCCCCGACCGGGACTAGAACCCGGTGTGCTGGCGTCGCAAGGCGGAGGATTAGCCTAGTGAGCCGCGGCGCCGGCCTGCGTTGTTTTTTAAAGCTAGCTTCAAGTACTTCAGAGAGTAAACAGAATAAGAAGTAAAAACTGTCTTAGGTCTAGATGTACGTACAAGCTTTGGACCGAGGTAGACACAAAGTCATCATTTGGGCAAGGATTTCCTGCTGGTTGCCTCAAGCTATCCATTCCTCATATAGCATTTGTCACTTAACAAGGGCAAAAAAATGTGCATACTGTGAGAAGCCATGCAAGTATGGGGTGACAGCTAGGTGGTGTATGCTGCCAGGCAGTGGATTAGTAGCTTCTGGATAATTGATGATATTTAGCTTCCAAAGTAACTCTTTATTTATAAAGAAGCAAAGTCGAATGCATGGGACTATTCATCTTCATTAGGGACACTCAGCGTATTTCAGGAGTAATCAGGAAACCAAGACTGAGTGCTAAGAGTCATTTCTATTTATAATCATGTAAAGCCCCACAAGAAAGACTAATAATGTCAAATATGTATTTAATGAATGAAGCCCTTAGTTATCAGGTCAATCTTGTAAGCAGCTGAGCATGAACTTTTTTCTGATATTAAATATGATCTACGTCTTTTACAAATCCAGCACATTGCAGGTTTCCACAGGGAGTTTTGCTCTTCCTTCCAGGAGGTGCTGATCATCATTGTGTGTGCTTTATGTTTTTCCAAGAGGGTTTTCTTTCCTTTTGAAAAAATTATACAGTTCACATACAGTAAAATTCACTCTTTTAAAGTACACAGTTCAGAGATTTTTGTTAAATTCACAAAGCTATGCAGCTATCATTACTATCTAATAATTCCAGAATATTTTCATCACTTCAAAAAGAAACCCCAAACCTATTAGCAATCACCTCCCATTCTCCCCCAACCCCTGCCTCCAGCCGCTGGTGACTGCTAATCTATTTTCTTTCTCTGTGGATTTGTCTATTCTGGACATAGCAAGGAAATTAAATCGCACAGTATGTGGGCTTTTGTGCCTGGCTTCTCTTAGCATAAAGTTTCCAGTGTTCATCCTTGCCAGTGCTTCATTCCTAAGGCTTCTTTTGGCTAAGATCACATGTAGAGTTTCATTCCCTTTTTATGGCTGAATAATACTCCATTATATAAATTACTACATTTTGTTTATCCATTCATTAATCTGTAGATATTTGAATGCCAAGACACTTTTTGTCTTGTTTCCACTTTTTGGCTACTCCAGACATTTATTTTTATGTGGATATATACCTTTGATTATTTTTGGTATACATGTACCCAGGAATAGAATGGGTTACGTGGTAACTCTACATTTTGAGAAACTTCCAGACTGTTTTTCAGGTGGGTGCACCGTTTTACATTCGTATCATCAATATAGGGGTGTTTTAATTTCTCCACATCCTTGTCAAGATGTTATTTTCCATCTTTTGATTATAGGCTTCCTAGTCAAGGATCTCATTGTGATATTTCATGGGCTGTCATTTGCATTTTCCTAATGACAAATTATGTAGAGCATATTTTCATGTGCTTGTTGATCATTTATATTTTTTGAGAGGTATCTATTCAGATTCTTTGCCAATTTTTATTAGTAGTGGTTTCATTGTTGAGTTGTTTCAGTCCTTTCTTTTTTCTGGATTCTAGTCCCTTATCAGATATGTGGTTAGTGAATATTTTCTCCAATTCTGTGAGTTTCTTTTAACTTTCTTGATGCTGTCCTGTGAAACACAAACATTGTTAACTTTGATGGAGTTCAATTAATCTATTTTTTCTCTGTTCCTTGTGCTTTTGATGTCATATCTCAGAAACCATTGCCTAACCAAGATCACAAAGATTTATGTCTATTTTTTTCCTAAGAGTGTCATAGGTTCAGCTCTTGTATTTAGATCTTTAATCCACTTTGAATTAATTATGTATGTGGTATGAGGACTGCATAGATATGCAGTCAATATTGACTGCATATGATATGCATCGACTGTCCATTTTTTCCCAACATCATTTGTTTAAAAGATTATTATTTCCCCTATCAAATTTTCTTGGTTTTCTCATCAAAATCAGTTACCCATAAATATATGATTCTATTTCTGGACTCTCAATTCTACTCTATAGGCATAAATTTATATACAGTTTTGATTACTGTAACTTCCCAGTAAGCTTAGAAATCAGGAAGTAAGAGTCCCACAACTCTTCTACCCTTCCAAGATGGTTTTAGTTTTTCTGGGTCCCTTACATGTCCATATTAGTTTTAAGATCCTTCTATCAATTTCTGCCAGAAAGTAAATGTGATTTAGCTGGGGATCTACATCAATGTGGGAAGTGTTGCTTTCTAAAAATATTAAGTGTTCCAAGTCATGAACTCAACATGTCTTTTCATTTAGATCTTTGTTTCTTTCAACTTCAGAGTGTAGCTTTCAGTGTACAAGTCTTACATTTCTTTTGAGAAATTCATTTGTAAACATTTGATTCCTTTTGATGCTATTGTAGATGGAATTGTTTTCTTAATTTCATTTTCAAATTGTCCATTGCTAGTGCATAAAGACACAACTTATTTTTTTTTATCTTGATCTTATTCCCCACCACCTTGAAAAACTTCTTATTTTCCAAAGGTTTCTTGTATATTCTTTAGGATTTTTTTAGTTATAAGACCAAACCATCTATGAATAGAGAAGGGTTTTCTTCTTTCTAACATTCACAGCTTCTATTTCTTTTTCTCATGTACTGTCCCTTCCCAGCCTCCATACAACATGAAATACAAGTCGTCAGAATACATGTCCTTATCTTGCTCCTGATCTAAGGGGGATGTTTCAATCTCTTGCCATAGCATTATGATGTCAGCTGCGGGGTCTTTTTTCCATGCCTTTCATCAAATTGAGGAGGTTACTTCTACCTCACGTTAGTTAAGTGATTTTTATCCTAAAATGCTATTCTATTTTGTTAAATGCTTTTCCTGCATCTATTGAGATGATCATGAGAACTTTGTCCTTTATTCTATTAATATTGTATAGTGTAGGAATTAATTTTCCTATGTTGAACCCACCTTGGATTCCTGGAATAAATCCCACTTGGTCATGATGGGATTTATATGGAGCTGGGTTTAATTTGGGAGTGCGTCATTGAGGATTGAATATCTATCTTCATAAGAGATGCTGATGTGCAGTTTTCTTTTCTCATGATATCCTTGTCCAGTGTTGGTAAAAGGTATTTTGTTTTGCTTTGTGTTAAGTTGAGCTATTTTTGTACCATTTCTCCTGGATCCTCCTTCAGGGCATGCAAGAAATCACTCTAATCTTTTATAGTCATACCTCACTTTCATTGCTGATTTTGGTTTACAAAAAGTGGTACCATGGTTTTATCATCCACCCTAGCTGTGATGCTTGGTTTCAAACAGCCCTTAGCTCTTTCTCAGTGTTGTTGAGAAGCAGTAATAAACCACGATGGTGACAGTGTGTGCACAGGCTGAACTGGGTATTGTTCTGTGCATTTTCTAAGGATTATTTCATTTAGTCTCCACAACCCACAGGCAACCACTACTAATCTGTTCATTTCACAAATGAGGACAGCAAGGCAAAAAGAAGCCAATTAATTCACCTCAGGAGTAAACTAACCCGTTCTTCGACTAGCCAGAGGCTGGGCCAGGATTCAAACCCTGACCCTGGGCTCCCAAGTTCATGTTCTTAATCACTGTGTTTCAGCACCCAGAGTTTTCAGAAAGAATGTGTTTTCAGTATTTCAAACTTTAGAAGGGTCCAAAATTTTTTTGAAACATGTCAGCATACCTGGAGAGAGCAGACGCTGTTTTTGGAAACCATTCTGAAGAAACACACTTTTATGAGAAAGTTTGGTACTTTTATTTAAAATATTGGTCACATTGTCTTGTAGAACAATGAAGATCTTTGCTATTCAATAGTCTTAAGAGGCAAGTTCTGCATGGTTTATAGAGAAAGATCATCTAAATTCCATTTCCAATGCTTTTATTTCCAAAGAAAAATAATAGCAGCAGCCCCTTGAAAGGATCCTTCTACAGAACAGCGTTAGATGCCTCGCCCTGGGGGAACCGGTGAGAAGCTGATGTGCTGGTACTTTCCACTCTCCAGGGCTTACCAGCAAGGCCTTCCGTTGCGCTCCTTCCCTGCTGTGCATGAAAGGCACACGCTGCTCACAGCACCATGAAAACATGTCTTATCTGATATAAGCATACGAAATTAGACGCTCTGTTAATTGTCCATTAGTCAACCGCTTCTCTTCTGCACCTCCCATGTGTGAGATGACACACAAGATAGGAGGTGGCAAAGCACAGATGATCAAAGCATGGACTCTGCACCCACACAGCCTTGCTTTGAATTGAGATCCACCACGTATGCATTAGGTCATCTTGGGCAAATTTCTTAAGCTCTTTAAGCCTCAATTTTCCCATCTGCAAGAGGAGGATAATAATAATAGTTATATGGAGATGAAATGAGATAATCCACATAAAGTTCTCATGATAGTACTTATTGTAAAACAAGCACTCAATATTAATTAGGACTAAGAAATAAAAATGAACTGGGATAGCCTCTCAAGTAGTTTACAATATCATAAAGAATGGTAGTAGGAAGCAGAATGTTCCATACATCATAAGAGTAGAACAAACTATTAATGGAGCTTTAAGAACCAAAGGTAGTGTGGGAGTATTCCACTCAGCAGTAACACACTGCTTGGGACTTTGCATCCCATATCCTGAATCCCATGAGTGCCTGGTTCATGTCCTGGCTCCTCCTCTTCCAATCCAGCTTCCTGCTAATGCACAACCTGGGAGGCAGCAGGTGATGGCTCAGCACTTGGGTCCCTGCCACTAACATGGGTGACCCAGATTGGATTCCGAAGTTCTGGCTTCAGTCTGGCCTAGCTCCAGCTGATGCACACAGTATGGGGAGTGAACCAGCAAATAGAAGATCTCTTTCACTTTCTCCCTCTCTCTCTCTTTCTCCACCTTTCAAGTAAAGTGAAAATAAATGAACATTGCAAAGAAAAGAGAACTAAAGATCAAAAAACAGCTGGAGAGAGGAGGAGGGGGTAACGAGTGAAGAATGAATAGTTATGAAAAGGCAGCCAACGGGAGTGGGAGACATGGAATGGTCAGTGTGAGCCAAGGTGCAGAGATGGGAAAGACCCGAGTGTGGCCAAGGTTACCCAGTGGGAAGTGTTCATGGAAAGAAACAACAAAAGGTAAAGCGAGAAACAAATGTGGTGGCTCCTGACTTCCAAGTTAAGGAACTTTGGACTTCATTCCTGTGTATGAAAGATTGAGTGTAATTTTAAATGAAAGCTGATGCTTTGTTTTTGTTTCTTAGATTTAGGATTCAAAATCAATTCGACTTGAAAGGCATTTTAAATTCTTGGGGAGTCACTGATGTTTTTGATCCACTCAAAGCTAACTTGAAAGGAATTTCAGGTAACAATAATTTTTCCAAGTCTTTTGTTTTTTCTTTTTTGTTGTTGTTGTTATTGTTGTTTAGTATTGTTTGGGGGTGGTTTTACTGGATTAATGGGTTCTCATTGTCTCTGCAGTCTTCAGTGGTCACAGTCAGAGTCAACATCATGTAATGAATGACTAAAGAAAGTGCTTTGCTTTGGCTGAGAATATGTTGCTTGTGAAGCCAGTCACGCTTGGGTTAGATTTCATGGTGGAAAAGATATTTTTGAGAATTTCAAGCATGGTTTTTGGAGACCACCTTCAGAGAGATGTCTATGGTCATGGACCAGGGAGCCCACGTCTATCCCAACAGAGGGTACCAGAGATGCTGGTGCAACAGTAGAACTCTTCCTCCTGACGGCCTGCTGTCATGCTAGCTCTACCTCCTCTCCCTCCCTGTACTTCCTCTGTCCTCTTTTAAATAAGCTAACTTGAAACTTGCCCTCATCTATCCAATTTCCTTTCATCAAATTACTCATACTCGTATAACCTTGCCCTAAAGTGTTCTACCAGCATCCATATTAAATTTCTTTGCCCATAGTTGACCTGCTACTACCAGTCAATAGCACTGAGACCTGCACTTCTATCAAATACAAGGGAACTTGAAAGGGTTCATGGGAAAATGGAATTAAAAAATAAGTTTATTTCGGTGCAAAAAGAATGTTGAAATCCATGCATGAGGCCGGTGCCACGGCTCAATAGGCTAATCCTCCTCCTGCGGCGCTGGCACCCCAGGTTCTAGTCCCGGTTGGGGCACCGGATTCTGTCCCAGTTGCTCTTCTTCCAGGCCAGCTCTCTGCTGTGGCCTGGGAGTGCAGTGGAGGATGGCCCAAGTGCTTGGGCCCTGTACCCCCATGGGAGACCAGGAGAGGCACCTGGCCCCTGGCTTCAGATCAACGCGGTACACTGGCCACAGTGCACTGGCCGCAGCGGCCACTGAGGGGTGAACCAACGGAAAAGGAAGACCTTTCTCTCTGTCTCTCTCTCTCACTGTCCACTCTGCCTGTCAAAAAAATAAATAAATAAAATAATAATAATAAAAAGAAATCCATGCATGAAAGGTCTTCAAAAAGTTACCGGAAAATGTTTGATGAAATAATTATGCATGGATTCTCTTTTTTTTTTTTTTTTTTTGCACCAAAATAAATTTATCTTCTGATTTAATTTCCACAAACTTTTTAGCACCCTTATCTTTGAAAGGAATAGACTGCCAGAACCTGTGTCCCAGAGTCCTCTCAGGAGACCATTGGCTAAATTACTGCCAATTCAAAGGCTCAGTTTTGTTTCTACTCTAGATAGAAAATTAACTGTGTGAAGACACTGTAGCAGGCATATTCCTTGGCCTTGACGTTCTCCTCACCTGATGAACTAAAAAATCACTATCTTGAATGTTAGTTGTCTTAACACAGAAAAGTTCAGAATCTTCCTTTTTAACCAATCACAGAAAAAAAAAAATAGAGAGAGAGTTTGATCCACAAAAGAAGTCGTGGCTTGGGCTTTATATGTGACCAGACTGACTGTCAGAGTTATTTATCACAAAACGCAGGAGGAAAGATCTGTTCTAGCATGTAAAAATTCTACCATCTTGGGGCAGGCATTTGACCACGGCTAAGACGCCAGATCAACATTGGAATACCTGAGTTTCATACCCAGAAATTACTAATACTGACCCTGGGATACAGTAGTAATGGCTCAAATAATTTGGTTCCTGCCACATACATGGGAAACCTTTACTGAGTTCCTGGCTCCTAACTTTGGCTCGGCCTGGCATTTGAGCAGTGAACCAATGGATGGGATCTCTCTGTGTCATCTTCTAAATACATTTTAAAATTTGTATAATATTCATTTGACAGGAAGAGAGACAGAGACAGTCTGAGATCCTCTTCTACTGGGTCACTTGCGAAATGCTTACAACATCTGGGGCTGGGCCAGGCCAAGGCCAGAAGCCAGGAATTCAATCATGGTCTCCCACATGAGTGGCAGGGACACAAGCTTCTGAGGTATCACTTGCTTACTCCTAGGGTGTGCATTAGCAGGAATCTAGAATTGGAAGTGAAGCCAGGATTTGAGCCCAGGCATTCCAAAGCGGGATGTGGGCATCCCAAGCTGTGCCTGCCCCTCAAATAGATCTTTAAAAATAATTTTCTAAATCAACCATCTCTTTATTCATTGCCTGGACATGCCAAGGGATAAGCAAAGCAATAGTCACACAGTGCCCAAGATGATGCTTGACATGTAGATGGAATAAATACTGATGATTTGGTTGAATGACTCAAAGTTTGCCTGGGTGGTACAGGAATAATCTGACACTGCAGAGAAAGGAAGAATATTGGAATACAAAAGATCAGAGGGCAAGAGTGAGCAAAGGATATGGAACTTAGGTGTGTTCTGTCCTTAATAATATGCGAAATCAAGCACAGCTGCTTCTGACTCCAGAGCTCAGCTATGGCATCCCCGTTGTTGTTGGCAGTTCTATTCTCTTTTTTTAAAATCATTCTAGTTCAAAACTTTGGGGCCATTTTTGACCTTTTCCTCCACACCACTATATTCAGTGAGTCACTATGGCTTAGGATTCTTCCTTCAGAACTCTTAAAACTCTTTCATGTCCTAGGAGTACACATCTTAAAATGCCATCAATGCTGTTCTCAAATAGGACTGTCTCAAATAGGACAACTCCCCTATTGGCAATGACGCCTAAGGTCCACATATGCCCCCCGACGAGATCTAAGAAACAATCTAGTTTGAAAAGTACCTTTTTAGCACCTAATCTCTTTTTTCTTAATGCAATTCAAGTCTACTTATATTAGTTCAAACCAGGAGAGACACGGACTCATGGATCTGGCTGCTGGAATAATTATTGAGCAGTTACCATGTGCCAAATGTGAAACTTGCAATTCATGTTTCTTCTGGACAAAACATACCAACTTCTAGCTTTCTCCCATAAAGTTTTGTTCCTCTAAAGCAGAGGTCAGCAAATGACAGCCCACTACTTGTGTTTATAGACCAACTTTTACTGAAATAGCCACTCCCACTTATTTACATATCACCTATGACAGCTTTCCTACTACGATGTCAGAATTGAGTTGTTGGGGGCAGATACTATATGGCATGCAATGGCTGAAGTATTCAATATCTGGACTTTTATAGGAAATTTGCCAACTAAAGTATTGCTTTCCAATGCCCAAATGAGCTTTGGACTCTATTCTGATAGAGACAGGGCCGCTGAATCTTGATAAGAAATAATTTCCTCATTGCTAAAATGGGAGATCACCTACCTTACATCTTAATTGTAAAAATATAAATATAGTGCAGCGTCAACAGTGTTGACCAGAAAATAAGTCGTCAGGAAACACTGGCCTCCCTTTCTTTAATAAGAGGCTGCTAAGCAGTTTGTGCCAATGTTGGGAGCCTATAACCACAGGGGACATTTCTCCTTTTCTTTCCATTTGGTTCCAGAATCACTTTGCTTAAGTTCTCCTTCCCCATTCAGAGCTCTCTCATCTGTTTCTTCTTAGCATCACAGCCTTTTTTGCTGTCTGAAGACCTTGCTCAACATCATTTCAAGGCCCAATTGGCTCAGGGTTTAATTTTCCCCCCAGCCATCCTTGCCACTGTATTAAGCTTTTTAAAGAGTAAATTGAGTCTCCCTTCACACTAAAGATACTAGCTGGAGACATTCTTTGCACAGTGGGCCCACCTCCTCCAGCATCAGTAGGTTTTGATACAGATCTGTGCCATCTAGTACAAGGCACACTTCTTGTGTCTAAACTTGAAACCCTGAAGAAACTATCTTGTTCTTCGCTTTAGAAGTGAATCATTAGTTTCCAATCTCAGCTCAGCAAGAAGTACAAGCTCTCTCTCTTACCATGACTTAAATGAGCAAACCACTGAGTTGTCCCTTTGAGTTCCTAAGTATGCCACACCAGATGGCTGTCTAGTCAGAGCTGCTACACAAAGGAGGAAGGAGTAGGTTCGAGGAGAAGCATGAAGAAAGCAACTAATCACAGCTCATTGTCAAAGGTCATCTCAGATCCTTCTCGGCACTTTCTATATCCTGCGCTGGGTGCTATGTGACACTCACAAACATACCCTCCAACTCTTAGCAACAAGGTGACAAGAAGATGAGAAAGATAAACTAGAAGCCATGCTCTGGCAAAAACTTGTTGAAAGCCAGTAACCCTGCCAGTAGTAAATAGTTGGAAAGACAAAAGAACCAGCAAATGATATATTTACCCTGCTTTATGAGAAGCTGAGGATGAAATGTAGGGACACTGATTTACATTTTGAAAATCCTGTTTACACAATGTCATGTTTTGAAGACGCTTAATCCTCTGGAGAGTATGACTAACTGTATACAAAGACTAATGGTCTCCACTAACAAAAGGGGAAAGGCGGCACTGAAATACTCATTTGGTTGAGTCTTGCCAAACATCCGTTTGCTATACCCTTATAGTTGCACAGACACCAACCAGCATTTCCTTACAAGGATAACCAGGTTAAAGAGCATTAGGGAAGTTTCCCTTATGGGGAAAAGAAACAAGCAGTTAGGGTGCGGGGTGTCTTGTGAATTCATCCAACATTTACTGAGCACATATCCATACCAAGCTTTCTAGTGCCAGCTGGGTGAGAAGTATTTAGAGTAAGACAATGTTTCTGCCTTCCAGGAGCTAAGAGTCAAAAAAAAAGGAAGGTTAACGCCTGTAGGAGGTGCTATGAAGAATGCAGACTATGCCAGGAGAGAGGGAGGAAAAAGGGCACCTCCCTGCTGGAGACACTGAAATGTAACGCAGGAGCAAATGAGCTCTTGGTGGGCTACGTTCCAGAAGTATGTTCCTCAGAATGCTAACCCAGGAAATTTAGCCATGGAAGATGGCCAGGCTGGTTCCATGTTTAAATGCTATACATTGTAATCCTCCTTGTGGAGATATACACTAGAATGTCAGCAAATTAGCAGCTCTGAGAAGTTCCCTGCTAAAAACACAAGCATGAACTTGTTTAACTCTTATCTCCCACATTTAACTAATCTTGCAACCCTTTTTCCAGAATAGCACCTCGCGATGATTTTGAGAACAAATTCTAGGAAAATAGGTTGTTTGACTTTCAGTGGTACTAGGCAGCTGCCACTTCAGGTGAGGAGAAAAAAGCCAGGAGAATCCCTTTTTGCTTAAATTTTAGGTGGATTTCATTAGCTGCCTCACATTTCAAGAGCTAACAGGAATCTGTAATAGATCAAAGAAAAAAAAAATTCACAGCTCCCAAATTCACATCTTCCCCAAACTTCTATCATACATGTTGGTCTTCTGAAATGTCAGTCTTACCAGAAATATAATTGAAGAGATGCTGATGCTGGGGCCATGTCTATGGCTATGGGTCTAGCTGATGGCTGTGCAAACATGGATGCCAATTACTAGACTGTTGCCACAGCCTACCTAACAGAAGACTCAGCCACACCAATTGGTCCCATTTCTCACACTGTACCAAAGTACCTGGGGTAACACACACACTGCTCATCGTGAAGAGCCTCTGTTCATTTCATCGACACTTGTTTAAAATGTTCAGACACCAACAAATGGTAACCAAGTCCCCTAGAATTGTAAAACCTTATGACTGTCAAAGAGCCAGGTTTCAACTATGAAGTTTTACATTTTGGTACTGCACTGCAGTTTGCTCAGTGACCTAGTCAGAGGAACTAATTATTGAGAGAGAAATTTGGTTCTTTTCTTAAAGATCCTGCCCCTCCCCCCAAATTAACTGTTAAAATAACCAATCTTCCACTAACTTTTAGGACAAGTGATGCTAACTATTTCCACTGATTCCCTCCCCCCACTCCCTCTGGCCTTTGCTTGTCCCCTTTGCTGATGCTGGAAAATAATTGCTCGTTTACAGGAGAGAGGCAGTGCACAAGAACGCTGCACATCCTCTACTCTGAGTTAGCTTTATTCTCTCATGACATTCACGGCCATCTCATTGTAAGTGCATTGACAAATGCAAATCCATTTAAATATTAATCTAACATGAAATGAAGTTCCTTCAAAACACAAGTACACGGTTACTTTAATTCTCATGCCATAGATCTCTTTCTAACCTCTCTACTTCTTTGCAGATTCTAGCTCATGAGGCAAGTTCATTGCATAACTGATAGACCTAAGTGCAGAATGCAGTCATGCAACATCAGGCATTTTTAATTCACTGAATGCCTCTTAAAACTTGTGTCTTAAAGATGTTTAAGATGCAATCTACTGAGGTTGGTGTTGTGACACAAAGTATTATGCCACTACTTGCAACACCAGCACCCCTTATCCAAGTGCTGGTTCAAGACCCAACTACTCCGCTTCTGATCCAGCATCCAGCTAATGTGCCCATGGGAACATAGAAGATGACACAAGTGTTTGAGTTCCTGCCACCCATGTGGGAAACCAGCAAGGAGTTCCTGACTCCTGAGTTTGGTCTGGCACAGATTTGACTGTTGCAGCCATTTAGGGAGTAAGCCGGGGAATGGAAGATCTCTCTCTCCCTCTTTCTCCTTTACAAATAAATAAATCTTTTAAATGCAGTTTAAGAAGGCATTCAAGGAAAATCTTAAGATGCTTGCTGAAAAAAGATTCCTGGGTTACAAATCTGCCTTTTACCACATATTGGGTGATTCTAACAACCACTGAAGTTTTAGAAATATTAGCTTAAGGCAAGACTTTTTGGGGGATTATATGGTAAATTTAACAAATTGCATTTTTGGGAGTTATATAAAATATTGCAACTTAAGAATTTTCCAAGCAGATCATCTCCTTAGCTACACAATCAGCAGCATCAAATGCTGTTTTAGAAATACATGATTTTGGGGCTGGCGCTGTGGTGCAGTGAGTTAAAGCCCTGGCCTGCAGAACCATCATCCTATATGGGAACCGGTTCAGGCCTGGCTGCTCCACTTCCAATCCAGCACCCTGCTAATGCACTTGGGAAAGCAGCAGAGGATGGCCCACATCCTTGGGCCCCTGCAACCGTGTGGGAGAAGCTCCTAAGCTCCTGGCTTCAGATCAGCTCAGCTCTGTTGGCTCGCTCCAGCCTTTGTGGCCATTTAGGGAGTGAACTGGCAGATGGAAGATCTCTGTCTCTCTGCTCTACTTCTCTCTGTAACTCTTTCAAATAAATAAATCTTTAAATATATATATATATAACTTTACAGTGTACTTAAATTCTTACAGTGAGTACATAAAAAATGTAAATGATAATTCACATTTTTATCATTTCCTGGAGTTAGGCCAAGATGGCTTTTATGTTTCTGAAGTGATCCACAAGGCCAAGATTGAGGTTTTAGAGGAAGGTACCAAGGCATCTGCAGCCACAGGTATGTTTCCCTTGGAAGTAAGCAATTCCCAATACATAGCTTACTTATATCTGCCTTTGTTAAATTCATCCAGTTGATTCTACAGTTCTAAACCTTTCCATTCAAAACCCCAAATCCACATGTAGTTAAAAAAAAAAGCAAAAATATTTTTGGAAAGTGATAGATTTCCATTTTGATCATCCCATAAACAAGGAATAGTAATTCTGTAAATTACTTGAGTAAGGAATTTATCTTTTGGAATATTTTGAAAATGGCAGACAGGCTTGGCTTAGTGTTATTTTTCTCTTTAATTATCTTATTTGTACCCCCTGCCCCGCCCCGCATAGTAACACTAGACAATGAATATTCAATAGGATGCTTTGATTTCTTCAAAAACTAAGGGATATAGCTAACTTCATATGCGACTTAAATTGTGGTTTCTGCAAATGAACAGAAAACGCAATGAGACTCTTCTCTTTCCCACAGCTCTGCTGTTACTGAAAAGGTCTCGGATTCCTATTTTTAAAGCAGATCGGCCATTCATCTTTTTCCTGAGAGAACCCAAAACAGGTATCACAGTATTTTTTTTTTTTTATATAGGATTCAGATAAATGTCTGACTAGCATCCCTCTAGCAACAAGAGCTCATTTGTCCACTGCAGCCTACAACAAGCATTTCTTCTAGCTATTTCTATAGTGTTTCCCAGTTGCTATGTCTTGTGTCCGAATAAAGGAAAATATTTTATAAGCACAAACTATTATAAATTTTTTTCTTTCTCATTCTCTGGGCTCATTAGTGGTTAATCTAGATTTAAAAAAAAAATTCAGTAAGCTTTTATTTCTTAGAAGACTTTGAAAAGTCATGTAAGTAAAATAAATCATAAATCTTGCCTTCTTTTCTCTGCTGTCCCCTATCTTGTCATTTTAGGTAAGCTGGTTTTTTCAGGCCACTAGAGTGTATCACACCGGTCGCCCAGTGACTCAGCGGCTCTAGTGTTCTAGTCAATGTACTAGGTTTCTATACTATTGTTCTGTTGATCTCTCTCAAAAATCAAATATTCTCCCTAGTACTCTTAAGTCCCATAAACAATGATATTCTAATCCAAAGATGGCATGGCACAGACAAAGCCTTAGCACATCAGGACAGACAGATGCCATTGACGTTTCAACTGTAACATCTTTACATTAGTTCCTTTAGTGCTCCTCTTCCCACTCTGATAATTACTTATTAGCCTAGGAGGCAAAGAGATTCTCAGTAAAGAGTGTTGGCAAGTCTAAACAATGTACTTAAAAGAAATAGGATGGAACAAGACTAATAAAATCAAGCAAAGGTGGATCTACTTTAACTAAACATCAGGCTTTACTTTTATTTATGGAGAAAAAAAATGTCAGAAGTTAGAATAATGAAAAGTATGCATAGTTTTACACAAATTATTAAGGAAATACTGTCAACATCATTTTATCTGAGAATCATTTGTATACTGCTGTAACGTGTGCTAGAAATCAAAGGAACATTTTTTGTGACAAAAAGGATGAATATAATCATTCACTAGAAAATAATCTATTTGGGGATTATTTGGAGAGAAAAAGTCCATCGACAGAATATATCTTCTCAGTATTTCACCATGATCATCCCAAACCCATAGTGATTAGATGAAAATGTCATTCATCACTCAGAATAGGCAGCAGAGCCTTTCTTGGAAAGGATACATGTCAAGAAACTGAAAGATGAAAATAATGACAGGTTCTGCCCCCTCAAGGAATAATGGAAACAGGACTAAATTTGAACATAAAAGCCATTACCAAAAGTTGACAGCCAATAAAGGTTGATGATGGTTAAAAGAGAAAGATTGTTTTTGGAATTTAACTACATAAAAATGATGTAAAATCCTCAAAGTAGGAAAGGACACACCACTAAATCAATATGACTTTCAGAACTGCCTTAGTTATTAGAATGAAAATATAAGGTTAATCTAAAACCAGTTCCATAATCGGTAGCAAATCTAAGTATAATCATTGTGAATTTATTTCCCTCTCCTTCTGGGAGGCATTTGCCCACATCAGACAAAGCAAAGTGGTTTCTCCTCTGTGATGGTTATTGAAGAGATTAAAAATGAATCTTAGCCCTTCACCACTCCAAACAAATCTGATTAAAAAAAAAAAACTAATAAACCAATCAATTGACAGATGGGACAAATACAGAAACATGAAAAATAATAATCTACAAACCTCAAGATTAAACTTTTGGAGGATATCACTTATCAAGCCGAAGGTCATCCAGCGACATAGAGAGATTAAAAGGCATGCTGTTCTCCCCAGATAAAATCCCTTGCCCCTCTGCTGACAAGATGAATTCCACAGTTAAGTATTTCACAAATTAACTAACGTACTCTTAGTTTTTTGAGAGAAATGGGATGTTAAGCTGTAGTTATGAGGAACTTAAAATTGTAGAACTAGGTTTTGGGATGAAGATGCAAAGAGCATAGTGGCAGAGAGATAAAGGACAAAAGAAGACAGAACAGACCGCTATTCCCAACTCCCTTAAGAGTTCATTCTGAAAGATGCATACAATGCTGGGTTCTAAAGGATAATGACCCCTTGTGCAACCTGTGAGATGGAAATAAAACTTTTAAATAAGGAGAACTGCTAACTATTGGAATAGACTGATTCTGTCCTAGAGGTTCCTATCAAACATGGACTTTTATCTGAATGACTTCTAATCCCGTCTGTTACTCTCAGGAACTAACTATATCTAATTTAAGACCAGACAATATATTCTGGAATTTTGTGTAGCTCGTGTTGAATTTAGCAATGCTGACTGCAGGCAGTTTCCTTAACAATTCCTAATCTACTGAGTGATATCTTGCTTTACTTAAAGGTGTTTTGTAGAGGTAAAAAAGCTTTAGAGAATTGCATATAAGAATATTACACAATGCTAACATTAAAAGCTTCTTTTCCTTGGCAGGGTTTATCTTCAGTATTGGGAGAGTCTCAAGTCCCCTTGACTGAATTAGAAGATCTCAAGCACATTCTCCACTTTCATCTCTGCTTTACTTCATAACAAGTTACAATTTCATTTTGCTATACTCTCAAAGCTTAAAAAAATGTTTTGATAAAATGTAAAAGTTAAGGATATGTGGTTTTCCAATATTATGGACTTAATAGTTCAACTGTATATGTTTATTTTGCTCTGTTAATTCAAATCCTTTTTAACTATCTTTTCTACGGGGCACTCCCAAACCACTGAAAGGCACAGCAGTGATCTACGAAATATGAATGAGTCAGGCCACAGGACTGCTTCCCCAATCATGACACACAAGGCCACACTGGATTGAGGGTAGAAAATGAAGTGTTGGATTTCCTTATCCTGTATAACTTGGGGAGAATGCAAAATGGGCAAAGTCTTCTGAAATGTTTCCTTTTCATTTAATTTCTAAATAAAATGGAGAATTTCAGTGTGAGAACAGCAGAGCAGAACATGAGAGCCCCCTTGGAACCTCTAAATTGTGGGCTTTTGTAATAAGTGTGGTATCAAATTGCTAAAATTTCAGAGTATACAGTGTATCCCAAACTTAACCACTCCCTAACAGCCTCCACTTAGTGCCGTTACAATCCTAGTAAGAAGAAAACACAGTTGAAGGGAAATAAAGAAACCAATAATGTCCAAAGTTGTCTGCTTTTTAAATAGCTTTGAAAGTGTCTGTCTATCTGCCACAGACAATTAGTCACTCCCATTAACCTAGACAGAAATGGGAGTATGTTGGCTTGGCCAACAAAAACCACAAACATAGTAAAAAGACAATGCAGACTATGTAACATGTAATTACAGTTAGGTTTAACAAATATGAACTTCAAGTGTGCATTTTTCCAATGCTATAAAGCAAGGCCTTTAAAATTCCATTGTCTTAAGATGTTTTTTTGAGTGATTACTTTAAATGTGATTATTTCCTAAACCACACAAGAGTAAAATAGAGCATTTATTGATGGAATAACAAAAGTGCTTTTCTTAAATATTCTTCAAAATACATTTGTACAACTTACAATAATATATCCAAAATAACTGTATATACAAAACATTACCTAGTTTTAATGTATGTGCTTTTTTTCCCCAAAAATTACAAAGTAACTTCTTTTTAATTTTTTTTTTTGGCAAAGTTCAACCTTAACAGAGGTGACAATTTTAAAGGTTGGTTTAAGAAAATAGAACCTGAGGGAAATTGACACGCAAGAGTCAATGACAAGCAAGAGATTTGGAGGAATTATTTTTAGTTTGTTAAATAAAAATGTTTTTTAGAGTGATACTTTTCACATTACAAAAATAAACCAAAATGAAGAAAAGGTCACTGTAAAATGATGGAAAAAGGATCTGTAGACTTGCTCTTAGTATTTCAAGTAGCCAACAATGCATGTCAAAAAAATGAATGCAAGATCACAACAGTCTTGTATTTACTTTGTATTTGGAGAAGACAGTGAAATAAATGGCCACATTCTATTTTCTTTTAATTGCTATTAATGTGGTTGATCTGATTAGCTCTTCGATGAATTTCATCCAAGAAGTTCTCCAGTTGTTCTATTAGCATTCGTTTTTTAAACCTGTATAAAAATATAAATAATAACATTCTCAATTGCTTTTCTAATGAATGGCATGTTATGATGTTTAGAAAAGGGCAAAAAACTGTTTTTGGAAGATTTTTCAAAGTGAAATGAAAACCAAAAAAAATCAACAATCCATGACATAAAAATCTGTTGGAAGATTAGCATGTTATTTTATCAATACACTTTGATAGATTATCCCTAAAACAAATAGTCTAAGCCCAGAAATAACAGGAATGAGTTTATCCCTTCTACAACTTTTGAAAAGGAAAAAAAATCCTACCATCTGCAGATTGCATATATTCTAGGAAAATTGGGATTCCCAAAGCAATTATTCCAAGAGCTTCTCAAACTCTTTGAAAGGCATACAAAGAAAGTATAATTCTCCACAAAACAAAAGGAGAAATTAAAAAGGACAGTAATATTTAAAAACCATAATGTTCCATTATTATAATTTAAATAGTCAGCAAATCAATAATTAGACATATGTTACAGAGGGTATAGCAAGCACTTAATGTTCACAAAGTAATTTTTTAAAAAATTTTCAGCAATAAATATAAGTAGACTACAATTACAGTCCTCTACATGAATATTAATCAAAAAAACTAAATTCTACTCTACTTCCTCTCTTCCTGTAACTAATATAAAGTCGCCATAATATTATACTGCTCCCTGAAAGTGGCAGAAGCATAGTAGAGGTACCAGGAATAGAACTGAATCTATGAGGCTTCATTCAACAGAACATCACCACGAAAAGCAGAGAAAGCTAATTTGCTAAAATTGTATAGAAAAGTTATGGTCTTATCTTGATCTTTCAAAGTAGTTTATGCTCTAGCCACTCCAGGAAAAAAAAAAAAATTGCTTTATCTAAATCCTTTACATGTAGCAATAGAGAGATGGAAGATTAATCAAAACATGAGTATGTTTATATTTGAAAGTCAGATGAGATAAACCATAAATCTTCTAATATTAAAATTCTCAAGGTCTAGAAGGAAACACTAAAAATGCGTGTAAACTCATACAAGTATGCTTTCCAATTAACTATACTTTGTAGTTACATTTATAATTTTGATCCACATTCCTTGTCCATAGTCCTGGGCTACTGAAACAATCAGATTAAGGTCCATCTGTCCAACTCTGGTCCCCTTAATAACATGTCTTCCTAGGGCCAAAACTGCGGCATAGCAGGTAAAGCCACTGTCTGCAGCACTGAAATCCCATATTGATATCGGTTTGAGTCCCAGCTGTTCTTCTTCCTATCCAGCTCCCGCTGATGTGCCTGGGAGTGCAGTGGGAGATGACCCAAATCCTTGGGACCCTGCATCCATTTGGGAGACCCGGAAGAAATTCCTGGTTCCTGGATTTGGATTGGCCCAGCTCTAGCCATTGTGGCCATTTGGGGAGTGAACCAGTGGATGGAAGATATCTCTCTCTCTAACTCTGCCTTTCAGATAAATAAATCCTTTTTTGTTTAAAAATGTCTTCCCATGCAAAAATGAACTGTATTCAAATACTGTCTTCCTAAGTTACTTCTAATTACTGATTGACATATAAAAGAGAAAAATTAAGGCCTATAAAATATGAAGACACCAAAAAGCTAAAGAGGTTAAATAAGAATTATGAAAAAAAACTAATAATTTGCATGGAGAAAAGGTTCATAATTCTTGAAGGATTTGTGTATCTACTTTTTAAGTGAACTGATTTCAGTAAACAGAAAAAAGTTCTCCTATGTATTTGTGTCATAAACATGCATAAACACAAATGCATGATGGGTACTAGTAAAATATTTTCTATAAGTATAAACTGGGGACCCATTTCATCACCAATTCATATTGTATAAAATAATCTGTTTACCTTGATGCTTCCTTAATGACATTTTGTAAAAATATTAGTCTTGTTTGTAAACTGCCTTGCACATGCTTCAGTAAAGTGAAGATTCTTTCATATTCTTAAAACAAGAGAAGCAAAAAGAAAAATTAAATGCCTTTCAGCATTAACATATACTGGAACAAACAAAAAGATACAATGAAACAAAACATTCTACATAAAAATTTCACTACTCCGTTTTACAATACATTTTAACATAGACTTGTGAGAAAAGTATGTGTCAACAAAGATAAAACAACTTGTTAAGCAATGCTTTTTTGGGTAAAAGTTCCCATGAAGGTATCAAACATAAAGCTTAGAAGAATGAGTTACACGGCTTTTTTGGTAGTACCACTGACAAGAAAAAGGCAAGTGGCCTTTTCAGAAACAAAAACCCCAAACAGTATAAGAACGCTACTTCAGTTTCAGGTTTTCACACACAACCCTGCCAAGGACTTATACACTCCTAAATGCCAAGTTCTCTGAGTCTTACCCACTTCTGGACCACTACAGGTCATTTTTGCACTATCAGAGCAAGTGATCTATTAACATCTTCTGAATGAATCCAAATAATATCGAATTTGATTACCATGAAGTACTTCTGTACTAATATAATTAGCTTTTTGGCTTAAGGATATTGTTGGTCACTATCATAGTTTAAATCTGAAACACAACGTACATTCTGTAAACAATATAGACATGAAGTCATTTAATACTATAATTTTTGGGGTTGGCAGGTTAAAATACTATGGGTTCCTGTCATGGTAGGAACCCCACACACAACCTATCTATAGTTTTCTTCAGCTCTCAGTTCTTACTAATCCTAACTCACTCAATTCCATAATCCTTTAGCTTCCATGACATTAACTTCTATCATATGTAGTACCCTGGACATTGCAGATAGTAAGTGTTTGCCGAATGAACAAAGAATCAATCTTAAATGGTTTAAATACTGCTCAAGACCATGGTGTATGCTTTCAGTAATTCAATCTGTTTTCTGAGCACATATAGAAATCAAATCTGAGGTTTGGCCAATTATACATACTTCTTCCTGGTTTTCGGATCTCTTTCATTATTTGTGCTTTTAGTTCAGTGTTGACCTCTTCATGGCTTCTGCAATGCATCAATTTCTTTCCTTTGTTGAGTGAAGATGCTGGTATGTTCTCCTCAGCACACTGTTCTTTATCTCTTGGTTCCTCATGATTTTCTAAAAATCCACCAACACTGAGGTCATTAGTTCCTAAATGATCATGACCAAGAGCCTCTGTATGATTGGTTGGTCGTTCCAGTAAATTGGCTGGAGAAGATGATGTTGAAAATTCAGTATCCATAGCATTTGGTGTAACATCTGATGAAAGTTGGTCTGCAACATGATTTTCAATCACATCATCTATTGTTGAATCATTAGTGGTTTCTGAAACTAAAAACAAAGGAGAAAAATGCTGAGAGCCAATTTGAAAGCACATGGTAAAGAAAGCCAATCACAACTTCTATCTTTGACTAAGGTAAATTAACAAATGATGAGATCTGGTTCTGAAGCTTTGTCAAAGATATGGTGGACTTCAATGTGCAACATTCACAATATTCACTAAATCTGTACACTTTTCTTAGAAAAAAAAAACAAATCAAAAAGCCAATTCTAACTAGATTTTAGTCCTCTGTTTTATTCGACGGTTTTATTGAAGAAGATTTTTTTTAAATTTTTTTTATTTTTTT